TCTCTCACTTTTTGAATAAAAATTAAAAATTGATATGATTGTCGGTTGTTTACAAACTGCCAGTGAAAAGTGAACCTAAAATGTATGAAAAATAATTTTTGACAATTGTTTAAAGAGATTTTTGATAACTGTAAGTATTTCAAAATCTATAAAATTTATAGATAATATTAATAAATTATAATTTTTAAATAATTTTTTGTAAATAGAAAAATATATATAATAAAAAACGCCGGCGCCAAATTTTAACCTCTTAATTTTTTTGTAAATTTTAATTTAAAATATATACTTTAGAAGCTAAAAGTTAGCATGATCATGCTATAGAGGTGGTAGATTTTTGAAAGCTCAATATAATTGACTGTATTAATCCATAAATAATAATTTTTTTTCTTTTCTGTTTGTAACTCACAAAAAGGAGTATTTCGTGAGAATCACCCATTTATTGGTATTAAATCATTATTTACAAAAACTATAGCTAATTCTTTTAAAACAAATTCATTAATTGGCAATGTGAATCCTTGCACATCCATCAAGTACTGCATTTTTAAATCAACTAATCTCATTACTCGTAGAGAGTTTTAAATATAAATAGAAGCTTAAAGTTAAAAAATTTTTTTAACAATACCACTAATTGGTTTATATTCAACGATGCGGTCATGCAAAATTAAGCAATAAGCCGAAGTATTGTCGGGAAAATTTTTTTTTGATTCAAATTCTAAGCGGATATCAACTGGTCCACTTTTTAAAGACTTATTTTGTTTTGAACAATCTACTACAACTAAAGGAGCATATTGTAAAAATTCTTTTTTTGATAAAATTGGTTGAGACTCTTTACTATAATAAGATACTTGAAAATTTGTAAACATTTCATATAATGTAGAGTACTGATTTCTACCAATATTGAGATTCATGTTGCCATAAGGATAACATTGTGAATTTAAAAATAATTTTACATCAGATAAATCACAGTGGTCGAAACAACTAAAGTTTTGAACTGTATTATTTTTTGTTTCTCTGAAACCCTAATACAATAAATCTAGGTTTTTCTAATTGACTTGAAGTTTTTACACTCCAAATATGCTTAGGAGTAATTGGTAATAAAGGATATTCATACAATTCCCAAGTTCTAAAACTTATTGGAATAGATGGATCTTTTTCAATATATTTTAATAATTTAAATTTTCGAGCATCTGATAATTTTATGTATGGTAATAACCATTCAATTTTTTCAATGACAATTTTAAACTCTTCCAAAGGTGCTACTTGCAACACTGCGTTAGCATCCGTTCTTGATCTGATTAGAATAAGCTCATGTTTAGCGTTAATAATGACTTTTTGGTAATCTTCAGCAAAACCAAAAATCATACTTAAAGGAATACAAACATCAAAATAACCTTGTGCATTTGTTAAGGTTGGTTCATTGGTAAATTCTAACCAGCCAACATTTTCAAGAAATTTATTTTGACTAGCATCGAGAGAAATATAATTTTTCATTAAACTTGTAAGACCTACATTTTTATTTTTATCAATTTCTACACCATTAAATTCATACTTTGCTTTTTCAAATAAATGACATATGCCATTAGAAATTAAATTTGTACGTTCTAGAGCTGTTCCATCAGGTTTCACGAGTTTTCCAGTGATGTGAATCGAGCGTTTGCTTGGAAATAAGCAATGATTCTGATTCTGTACCGTGATGCGGATTTCGTCACTATTGTTGTATGTTGATGAGGTGTATGGTTGTTGCGCATGAACTTCATAATGAGCAATAGATTCATCAAAAATTACTGGTGAATCAATATTTAAAATTTCCCCTTCCATATCAAATAATAATACGTTGAAATACAAAGGCACAAATACAAGTAAAAATAACCTTAAATCTTTTTTTACTCTCTTCCTCTTTTTACAATCTTTAGACCGAGATTTTTTAGTAGTTGCAGGTTCTGAGATGTTAATCTCTTCAAGATTCGCCGACGACTGATTTGATTCTGGCATGGTGAATATAGTCTATTGTCTTGACTGCGACTGGCAAGTAAATGACGTGATTTGGTACTTCCACTATTTTATATCCTGGTGGAACAATAGGAAAAAATTCATGAATAGTATGCACTTTTTCAAAATTGATGTATGCTCCCGTTGTTATATTACATTTGACTCTTAATGAATTTATTTTAATGATTGATACTGGTTGATCAGACTCATGGTATTCTTGAGCTTTTAATTTGCGAGGAGAAAATCCTAACAAACTACCTATAGAATCATTGGGTTTAAAATTAATTTCTTTATTACAATAAACTGTAAATTTCAATGTATTATTGTTTGGTTTGATTCTTAAATTAATTCCTTTATTTCTTAAAATTAAATGCAAAACTTGATCAATATCACTAACTTCATAACTTTCTGTGGGTATAATAATTTCTTCATTTCCTACGTAAAATTTATTCTTTCCAACATCTATATTAGGAATAGAATTAAAAGTTAAAAATTCAACAAGTCCAAGAGCATAATTTTTAAACTCTATTGGTGGAAAAAATTGAGATTCTAAGATGGAAAAATTTCCAGACAACGTTAAAATAAGTGAATCGTCCATGATGAGGTTAAATTAATAACTGACATTTAAACCAAGAATATTATTTATTTATATGCAGAGTATACAAGTCAGGAATATTCAATTGATTACATAAAAATTTAAGACATAAATGTCCTCATACAAATGTATTATAGTTTTGATATCGTTTATGATTATATTTTATGCTACCAACACCAAAATATTAAACAAGATCCGAAGGTGGTCGAAGATTACTAAAGCTATCGAAATATATGATTTTATCTTTATTTTTTTTGTATGTACACCAGTGTGTACCAAAACCATCTTTATCATCTAGATTTAGACCATCTAGACCACGCATAGGTAGTTCATTTCTCATAAAAACTCCTCGAAAATATGGAATTTTTAAGCGCTTTGCAAATTTTAATAAATCTAAGTTTGTTAGCGCACGGTGAGGTAGCTTTACTTCAAGTTTTTTAACTTGCATCCTCGTCCTACTTTGTATGGTTTTAGATGAAGGCCTTGTCCTGTTTTTCATGGTTTTAGAAAAAGACCTTTACCTAAGGCAATAGATTCCATTGTTCTATTATGTCGCTTACTTTTCTCTAGTTTACGTTTTGCAGAACTTGCATCATTTACAGCTTTTGCTATGCCAGCTGCTTCCCCTGCTAGGGCCCCTGTTGCACTTAAACCCGCAAACAAAGGAATAAGAAAAGGTAAAATTCCTCCCACTTTAGAAGGTATCGGTAAAACTCGAGGTTTATTAATCATAGATTTTTTCGCTGCGGTTACAATCTTTCTCAACGTTGATTTTCTATTTTCCTTCTTTTTCTTCATATTTTCTTTTGATTTGATCCCCATGCCTAATTTTGATATGACCTTCATTGAATTTGTTATTGCGTAAGCTGCAGCTCTTTCACTATACTTTGCGTCAGGAGCAAACACACGTTGCAAAGCTTTATCAGCAAGTACTTTATCAGCTGCGTTTCTCGCTTCTACACTTTCCCTATTTTTTGAATAAGAAATATCGTTCTGTTTACAAGCAGCGTCAAGAGGGTTGATTCCTAGATCACCTCGTGCTAATCTTTTCGCCAATTTTGTTCCTGGACCACAGTATTGATATCCAGGTATATGAAGTTCGAAAGATAATTTGTTGATAATTTTATTCAAGACACCTCTACCTCGTCTTACTCTTTTCGAAGTTTTCTTTAAACTAATTTGCTTTTCATTTACACCCATATTTATATTCTTTTCGATAAGAAAGCTTTTTCAATACTAAAGTAGAAATCTATATAATTAATGTACAGTACCGTCCACGAGTATCAGGACGATTACATTCGACTCTATGAAAAAACATGCTATCACTTTTTCAATCATACCTCGGAAATTAAAGGAGATACAAAAAAACTTAAATACGGTTAGAAAGCCGATTAAATTCTGCGTAAAATAAGCCGTCTTTGAAGCCGTGTTTCGACCGATTGGTGCATTGAAATTAAACTGTGACGACTCGATTCTGGCTTCGCGCGGCAGCGAATGAGACAGAAAACAGGGACGAATTCATGCGGGGGAACGATGAACTTTTGAGTTTCTTTATATTACTCGTAAAACATCATTATTTATTATTCTCCAGCATAAATTCGTCCCTGTTTTCTCTCAATCGCTGCCGCGCGAAGCCAGAATCAAGTTGTCATAGTTGAATTTCAATGCACCAATAATTTTTAATAATAAATTTTATCGGTCGAAACACGGCTTCACATTTTTAATGATATATCGAAGATGGATTAACCTTTTTTAATTTTCGAAGGCTTATTTTAAAGCTGAAATTCTAACGAAGATTTCTGTGTTTTTAGAAAAATTTTATCTAAATTTTTCTAGATTTTTGAAAAAGTTGAAATGAAGAGACAAATATGAGAAAATTGGATAATTTTTTTTATTTCTTTCTCACTCTACAACTTAAAAAATAATTAACGAAATAAATTCAAACACGGCTTATTTTACGCAGAATTTAATCAGCTTTCTAACCGTATTTAAGTTTTTTTTGCAACTTCTTTTATTTCCGAGATATGATTGGAAAAGTGATGGAATGTTTTTTTGTAGAGTTGCGTGTAATCGTCCTGATACTCGTGGACGGTAGTGTATTTATAGTTTTTTGTCATTTGACTACAAACAGTCGACCTTTAATGATCTAGCAAAAAAATTATGACAGAAATAGTCAATTATCACAGTAATAATCAATTATCTCAGTTGCCTCCGACAATAGAGCTTAACGTGGACCTTGCCCAAAGCATGAAAGAGTTAACCATCGACACCAAATCGCAAACATCTCCTAAGAAATTAGATCCACATAAACGTCATTATTGGACTTGCATGCAAACGTTACAAGCGTCTACAGTGAACTGACATTGAAAGTATTAAAAACCTTGTATTTATAGTTTTAACCTCAGTTATCGTAAGAATGGAGTTTGAAGCACAGTCGATTAAATTGCCAGTCTACAATTTTGACACTCTTGTTCAAGATTGTAATAAGAAAACAGAAAACCGTCATGGTAACTTATTGCCAAATAGTGTGCGAGCAATATTTTGTGGACCGTCAAATTGTGGAAAGACAAATGCTTTACTTGCTCTTCTAATACATCCCAATGGATTACGATTTGAAAATGTTTATGTGTACTCAAAATCATTATATCAACCAAAATACAAATTTTTAGAAAACCTTTTGCAACCAGTAGAGGGTGTTGGCTACTTTTCATTTAATGAACATGTGGATGTTGTAGAACCAAACAATGCGTTACCAAACTGAATATTTATATTTGATGACGTAGCATGTGAAAAACAAGATAATATTAAGGCTTTTTTTGCTATGGGAAGACACAAAGCGGTGGATTGTTTTTATTTATGTCAAACATATGCGCGCATTCCAAAACATTTAATACGTGACAATGATAATTTACTAGTTTTATTTAAACAAGATGAAATTGAATCTTAGACATATTTATGATGACCATGTAAATACTGATATGACATTTATGGAATTTAAAAAACTTTGCAACTCTTGTTGGAAAAATAAGCATGATTTTATTGTGATTGATAAAGATCGTGATATTAATGAAGGTAGATATAGAAAATGTTTTGATTGTTTTATAAAATTAGAGAAATGATATTCTTTGTAAACAGTTTCATTCAAGACATTGGTCTATCAACATGTCTTCTACACACTTGAAACATTTGCGAAAGCAAAAAAATATTCTTGGTCAAATTGCGAAAGCCAGTGATGCTATTCGACGAAAGCATAGACTGATGAAAGTAGGCAAGGAAGAAATTGAACAGACTTTAAATAATACCTTTACACCTATAGTGACACCAATTCAGAAATGATGATGATGATGATGATCGATGACTTTTTTTTCGTGAAAATTCGAATTTCGACCCCCCACCTTTCGGATGTTAAGGGGGTTGTAGGGGGTTAAGGGAGGAAAGAATTTGTTTTTGGTAGTCTTTTTTGGTTTTAGCGACCCAAAAAACATAGGAATAGACACCCTACTCCACTTTTTTTAAACTGAAATTTCAACCCCCGGGAGCAGGTGTAAGGGGGTGGTAGCGGGAAAATGGCCGATGAAAAAAATTTTTCATGGTCATATTCGGTTTCAGCGACCCCAAAAACATGGGGATAGGGGGGTGTGACCTCTGGGTTTTGACTTTTTTATTTTTTTGTGTGCCTGTGTTATTGAAGAGTTGCGAGAAGCTGGAATTGTTTATTAATTAACAGTTGTAGAAATTTTTATCATTTTCATGATGAGTATCGACATATTCGGACGTCAGTTTAAAAGCACAGAAACTTCAAATCGAGGTCCACCAGGACTTGGTTTTAAGTTGACTTCAGAAGGAGATTGTAATATTGAAAATAAGAAACTTTGCAACGTAGCTGATGCTGAGAGCAACAGTGATGCAGTAAACTTGAATACTGTAAACAAAGTTAATGAATCTAAAGCGAAAGTTATCTATGATGTAATCGGTTCTGTGAGAAATGATATAAATGCCAATGTTGTAAAGATTTTAGATTTAGAAGATTTGATAAAAAAATATCTTGAAAATCTAAGAATCAGTATTGAAAGAAATATAGAGATGATGTCTACCAGCAAAGACATTATTTTACAATTAGACAGCAGACTGCGCACACTTGAAGGTAATTAACAATGGAGGATCAAAAACTACAGTTGGTGAAAGAGTTACATAAACCAGCGAGAAAAAATTAAAAGCGAAGAAATGTTGACATTCGAGGTATTGACGAGACTTGGCAAGCTGATCTTGTTGAAATGCAACCTTATGCGAGAGAAAATAAAGGTTACAAGTACCTGTTAACCGTTATTGATACATTTTCAAAGTTTGCCTGGGCTGTTCCAGTAAAGTCGAAAAAGGTGAAGATGTGATTGTGATAATGAAATCTATTTTAATTAAAAAACGTGTACCAAAAAATTTGCAAGTAGATAAAGGAAAGGAATTTTATAATTCACAGTTTGAAAATCTCATTAAAAATTATAACATTAATTTGTATTCTACTCATAGTAATTTGAAAGCGTCAATTTGTGAACGATTTAATCGTACTTTAAAGAATAAAATGTGGATGCAATTTAGTTTACTCGGTAATTACAAATGGATAGACATATTAAGTGATTTAGTAAATGCGTATAATAATAGTAAACATCGGACAATAAAAATGAAACCGAAAGATGTAAATGCTTAAAATGAAAATAATTTGTTGTTTAATGTATTTAAAAAAGTTGCAGTAAACAGGCAATATAACAAATTTAAAGTTGGAGATAGAGTACGTATAAGTAAAGTTAAACATGTTTTTGAGAAAGGTTATACGCCAAATTGGACTACAGAAATATTTACTATAAGCGATGTAAAAAATACTAATCCAATAACATATATCTTGAAGGATTATCAGGAAAATCCAATAAGTGGATGTTTTTACGAGCAAGAACTTTCTAAAGTTAAATATCCAGATGTATATTTAGTTGAAAAAGTATTAAAAAAACGAGGATGTAATGTATTTGTAAAATGGTTAGGTTTTGTTAATTCTCATAACAGTTCGATAAACGAATCTGAATTATAATGTATTTGAGAAAGGTTAAAATAAAAATAAATTGAATTGTATGCATTTTTGTATTTATTTATCCTCTCTTTACAATAATTTACCATTTATACATTGAATATTTAACATTTGATGAATAGCTTAATTTGATATTTGCTTGCAGTGAAATGTGACAAGTTCCAACAATAATGTCTCTAAATTTGAAACATTTGTTTTTCTCATCACTTTTTCAAGTATTCTACTGTAATGTTTTTTAATAAAATCCGTGGCATGTTTTGTAGACTTTACATTATTTTTAAAGAATAATTCTGCAATAGACTTTACAATTATATCTTTACTATACTGCAAATTGAATTTTGATAGTTTTACATATTTTTGTTCAACACAAGGAATAAGTTCATTAAAAATTGCAAATGACGTTTCACTAAATGTAAAAGATTTATCTGAACGCTTAATTGATATTAAACGATATGTAACACTAAAACGTATTGTAAACGGTTCACAATCCAGCACTGTTGCATCACAATCTCCGTTGAAAAATCGTATGATATGTTTTACTGCATCACACAATAGGCGCCATTCTTGAAGCTCCAAATACAATGATTCTCGTGGATGTCTGCTTCTTTGTTGAATTTTTGGTATTATATTTCCATTTACACTAGAACCTCCAACGATTGCATCTCTATCTATTGCAGTTGTTTACGAAACTTTGGTGGTCATCCGCTAGGGGGGTGAGGACACCGCCATATTAATGCGAAGGCAGTATTGTACTAAGTTTAGTGTTCTTTTGCGCCCTGTCTTTTTAAGTTGTATTTTCATATTTCAACATGACTGAAAAAGGTCAAAAACGTAAAAGAACGCACTTAGACACTGAAACTAAACATAATATTTAAAAAAAAATAAAAAATGGCGAGGATAAAAATGACATATTACGCCAATACAAAATATGTGAGAGAACGTATCACTATTTGTTGAGAGACGAAAAAAATATTTTAAATAGAGTGCAAAATTAGGGAAATAGAATAGTATAAATTATAAAGAAATAGAATTTAAATAAATAAATTTTTCTAATTTAAAATTATATGAAATTTTTCTCTGAACCTCAAATAGTATATACACATACAGTATGTGTACGGCCCTGAGTGTTGACACTTTTATGGAAAGATGGCGTAAAGGTGAAAACCTCCATCTATTGCACACAAGAAGATCACGCTGCAATCGTTGGAGGTTCTAGTGTATGTCTAGTTCTGCTCCAACGACAACTTGCTTTGTAAATGATGGATTCAAGTTGTAAATTTTTGTCTTTTGTCTTCTACTGATCAACTCCCTCAGAAACAAACTCTATTTGATTGTAAGGTCCTCCACGATTTCTTAAATATACACCACCTCTTACAGCTTCTGCTTTCAGACTGTTGAAAAGATTTGCATTCTCTTCAAATATTTTTAGCATTCTTGGTGGTAGAAAAATGTTAAATTCATTATTTATTTCAGCAACAATTTTCGAACCAAATTTCGTATCAATTTTTTAAATGTCTGTTATTTTATAGAATGCATCGATGGTTAACTCCTTTGTTGTTTTGGTGTCCAAGACTTTGCTTGATTTGTTTAATTTATCGAAATTCAATTTTATCACTTAAATTTAAATTTTCAAATTTTTTCACTAAAATATTTAACTGCTACCTTTCTTCAATTAAACTTTTAACTTTATCAATTTCATAAATTAATATGTTTAAGCGCACTTGAATTTCACGACGTTGTTCTGATAATATGTTCATTATCCAATTTAAACTGCAGGAATGATTTCGTTTGCAAAAATTCCTTAGATAAAACTTACTCAAAACAAAATAAATAAACTGTATAATAAAAGAGACCGAAAGCAATAAATCAAAGATATCATAAACAGCAAGTACATGGGGAAAATTCCTTAGATAAGAATCTAATAAACAAGATATCAAATTACATGTAAAACAATAGCTAAAATAATTCCAAGAAATAAATAGGTATCAAATTACACGTGGGAAAAATTCTTTAAATAAATCCGAAACTGGAAGCAATAAATTAAAGATATTATAAACAACAAGTAGATAGTAAAATTTCCTTAAATAAGAATCTAATAAACAATAAATCAAATTACACATGTCAAAATTCTAGGATGTATGACGTCATTTCCAGCTCAGCATCGTGGCCTCCCCCGTGATGTCATATCCGCTTTAGAATCATGGTCTGCCCCCCACCCGTGATATCATATCCGCCTCAGAATCGTGGTCTGAATATTACCCCCCCCCCTTGTAATGTAATATCCGCCTTAGCATCATAATACTTACCTCTTATCACATGCTGATCAAACTGCATAAAAAATCTCATACTAAATGATCATGTTCACACATATCCAAATAGCGTATATACTTAGATTCAAAATTTAAATTTTCGCGCCAAAACTCAGGTATGCGCATGCGCAGTTCAATTTTAGTGGGTTAAAACTCTCCCTGTATATCTACTATGGTCTTGTCCTCTTAACAATCCAGTTTGAAATTTGAAAAAATATTTAAAATTTTAAAAATAGGGGATGATTTTCTGAAAATAAATAAAATCAATTTTCTCAAAAACACCACCATTTTGTTATCAAATTTTTACTACAAATTCTTCAAATAATTATGAACATTTCCTAAGAATTTCAAGCGGGCTAAACCATTCTGTCAATCAAGAGATTTTTTTTTGCAAATTTTCACATTGTTAACGTTTACGTCAACAATGTTATAACGATTCATTTGTTCTTAAAAATGCAAGTTAACAATTTGAAAATTTGCAAAAAAAAATCTCTTGATTGACACAATGGTTTAGCCCGCTTTAAATTCTTAGGAAATGTTCATAATTATTTGAAGAATTTGTAGTAAAAATTTGATAACAAAATGGTGGTGTTTTTGAGAAAATTGATCTTATTTATTTTCAGAAAATCAACCCCTAGGTATTTTTAAAATTTTAAATATTTTTTCAAATTTCAAACTAGATTGTTAAGAGGACAAGATTATCTACAAGACCTAAGAAAGAAAATTAAATTATACTCAAAAGAAAAAAATGAAAAGCAAAACAATTTTTTTTCTATAACATGAAGTTAGTCGACATGCCTGATTTGAAATGGATTCAGTCTACTGTGTGATTCTTGGAAAGTTTATGAATTGAAATTATTGTTATGGTCCAATTGGATGCATAAAACAAGAAACTTTTAATGAAATACCGAATAAAAATTAATTAATAAGTAGATTTAGCAAAATATTCAGAAAAATCAATAAAAATGAAATTGACCTTTTTAAAACTTGTGTAATAAATTTTTCGCGATAATATGAAAATTTCTCTATCTAAAGAAATTATAATAGAAGCAAAATCAAGCATTGTTGGTTAGTCAAAGAGTATTATACACGAAATAAAATTTATTTTCCAAAAAGTGCAAAAATCCCAAGTTAATTAAATGGGAAAAGTATTGTTATTTAGGCAGGGTTAAACGGCATCGTAAAACTTTTTTCTAGTTTCTAAAATTGTTTTTAGGTAAAAAAAAAACGATTTTGACGATACCCAAATGAAACCCAGTGGGCACAGGGACGTCTAAAAGATGTCCCTTTTTGTCCGCGGACGATTCGGGGACAATGATGGCAATGTCTCTGAGTCATCAAAAAGACAACTAAAAGACGTCTAAAAGACGTTCTATGTCTGGTCCAAAAGACGTCTAAAAGACATAAGAAAGGACGTCTAAAAGACATAAGAGGGACGCCTAAAAGACGTCTTTAAGACGTCTTTTGGACGTCCTTTTTACATTCCTTCAGATCTTAAATAAACATTTCTTTTATAACATTTTCTAAGTTGAAACTTAGTAATATTTTGTAATAAATTTATTTTAAGTTTAATTTTATTTTTTCTAAAATGTGGAGAAATAATGAAAAAATTCCTACGAAGCTGGGATCGAACTGTGATACTTTGGGCTTGAAGCACTGCGCCTTAAGCACCTCAGCCGTTCAAGACAGATATGAACCTCTACAAAGTTAACGATCTCACTTGTCAATGAAATGAATTTAACTTAGAAAAATTCCAATGAATTTCACATTCAAAAATTTCTAAGTCCAAGTTGAACTTAGAAAATAATATTTTCTATTTATGAAAATTTTTCTATTTTCTAATGTTAAATGAAAAAGACGTCTTTTAGACATCTTAAAGACATCTAATGGCCAAGACATAGAACATGTATAGGACGTCTTTAAGACGTCTTAAAGTCGTATTTTTGTACAAGTCCAAAAGACGTCCGCAAAAAGACATCCTTAGGACGTCTTTTGAACAAGTGTGCCCACTGGGATATTAGTAAATATAATTAGTAAATAGTAAATAATAATAAAATTACATTAAGATACTGTTTTCTAAATTTTTTCAATCATTAAATAATTAATTGAGTTGTGTTTAGTTTTTGATGTTAATTATTAAAGTTAAAAAATTTGTTATAATTTTTTGATGTTTGTTAATAAATTAAAAAATTTGTTATAATTTGGAAATTGTCTGTAATTGGATAAAAGTAAAAAATTAGAAATCGTTTTTATGGAAATTCCACCCACTATCCACCCTTTTGGACGTAGAATATGCAAATACAACCCCCTCCCACCACCCACTCACCTATGTATTAGTTAACCATCCCCCACCCACCCACTTTTTTCCTTTATATATATATTTTCAATATTACCACCCACCACCACCCACTTAGTATAAACCAGAAATTTCAAAAATCGTATAGAAAAGCGCGAGGGATTAAGCGTTCGCGAGATACCGCGCAGGCGTTGTGGGTAGTGGGAGTGGGTGGTGGTAAGGCCCAGTGCGCAGCAAAAGTGCGCGTACGGTTACCGCGTTGAGTGAGTGAAAGTTTCATGCGTCAGACCTGTCTACCTGACTCTCACAGCTTGCTTCACTAATACTATAACACCATAGGGATAAATGTATTGTCCAAAAATATGTAAGCAAGTTTCAACTTGCCTTTTTTCAAGATAACAATAGTATTGTTTGAAAATTTTAAAGCATGTTTCAACCTGCATCTTGAATAGAATAAAGACATTGTCTAAAAAACCTTCAGACAGGTTTTAACCTGACTGTAGATGAGAACAAAGGCATTCTTTAAAAACCCTTTTAGTGACGTCATTTTATGCGAGTTTGAACACGTCTTCTAAATGACTCTTCATTTGAGGTAGTTGCGTGCGCAGTCGTTAAAGTGGGGGTAAAAGAGTGGGAGTTGAAGAAGAAGAGTAGGGGTTTAAGGGATATAAGGTAGGTTGGAAGCAACGATTCTACACTTCTATTAAAATTTCTAGCAGTAGCAGCAACAGTATTAGCAGTATCAGCAGTACCAGCAGCTTCAGCATCTACAGCAGCATTAGCAGTACTAGCAGCTTCAACAACTACAGCATCATCTTCTCATTTGATAGGTAAATTTCATTTCTTTAATAAAAACATTTTGTATTCCAAATTAGTTTTTTAAATTTAATATTAAAAAGTCCATCTTTTTTTCTTTGCTTACAGATATTAAAACAATGGACTTCCAAAAAGTCAACGCCACTGGTCGCATGGAGAGATTTCTACCAACGAAGCCGCTTTCTGAATTGACTGTGAATGAGTTATACAACGTAACTAAAATAAACAAGGTGCAGACGAAATATGGTTCTAGGATTGTAGTAGACCTGGATGCTACATTTACCACTTTTCTACCGGCAAGGTTTTCAAAACTATTTGAAGATGACCCTACCTCCTTCACAATGATGGAAGAAGCCGTACAGTCGGAGAAGTTGCGATTAAAATATATTGGAGGCAAACTTAATGTTATTGAATTTGAATAAGAATAAATATTATAAGATTATACTGTAAAAATTATGTAAATATTTAAATGCTTATAATAATAAAAAAAATTACTTTTAAATTGCTTCTTTTATTATTCTACCTTCATATTTTAAACAATTTTTAAATTAATAGAATTTTGTATAACATTGTATAAGTAAATTTTTATTAAAGTAAAAGGAAAAAAAAATTCAAGTATATAATATTAAAGGAGTAGGTATATCAAGAAAGACAACATTTTTTAAAATTATAAAATTCATTTATTTTTATATATATGTAGAAATTCAAACTTATTACAATAGTTGTTCATAATTTTCATAAAATGATTTCAAATTAGTATTCACATCATCTACTTCATCGACACCATTTGAGAAGTTTCTCAGTTCACTCGTTACATTCAAAAACCAATTTCGAAGCTTAAATATATTGTTTACTGCACAATTTTCAGTTTGTATAATGTGATGAGTACATGTAGGTGATGAAAATTCAGTTTTAATATTCTTAAACGCTGGACAGTCAATTTCTTTTAAATTGTATACATTCATTACATACTTTTCTAACCACTGTTTTTTTTCACTACCTTTAACATAGATAGTTTTTGCTCCTCGTAATGCATCTTGTAAAATGGTTCGCACTTCATCATAACACACATCTCCAACCATCCAAGGGATTGAATGATAGTTGTTTGTTAACCACAGGTTTTCACTTTTATAACGTCCAGGTAGTGAATTCCAAGCACAAGGTGGTTCAAAAAGGTAAACTCTTGGTTGAGCATCTGACTCCAGAGGAACTATAGCCAACTCTTTGAAAATAAACTCATTGCAGGGTTTTTTAAAACCTTGAACGTCTACTATGAACTCCATTTTAGAATAGAAATGAGTATTTGCTTCAGAAATATGTCTTATATACCTCTCCACTTCACCCCCACCACTTTGTTTCCCTCTCCATTTTCTTACAATTTCTTAATAATACCACTGATTGGTTTATACTGAACTATACGATCATGTATGACGAGACAATATGCAGTTGTATCAGCAGGTATATTTTCTCTATCTTCAAATTCTAAACGTACATCGACTGAAGACTGCTTTAAAAACTCTTTTTGTTTCGAACAATCAATAACAATTAAAGGTGCTTTTGATTTAAAAGTATTAATAGCTAAAGTAGGTTCTGAATCTTTTCCATAATAAGAAGATTGAAAATTAGCATACATATCATATAATAAAGAATACTGATTTTGATCAAAATTTAAATTTAAATTTCCATAAGGGTAAGATTGTGAGTTTAAAAAGAGTTTTGCATTTGTAATATTACAATGATCAAAGTAACAGGATGTATTTTTTAGTTTATTCTTTCTTCCAGTTTGAAATCCAACAATTACATATCGTGGTTTCTCTAATTGAGATGAAGATTTGAGTTGCCACATAATTCTTGAACTTTCTGGAAGTAAAGGATACTCATACATTTCCCACGATCGGAAACTCATAGAAATTAATGGATCCTTCTCAATAAATTTTAATAATTTAATTTTATTACTGTCTGATGGTAAAATATATGGTACTAACCATTCAATTTTTATTAATTGTAATTTTAAATTCTTCATTATTGTCAAGATTTCCTGTTTGAATAACAGCATTTAAATCATTTCGTGATCTTATCAAAATGAGTTCATGTTTAGCATTCATAACAATTTTCTTATAATCTTCAGCAAAACCGAAAAGCATACTAAGTGGTACTGTTACATTAAAATAACCATTTTCTAAAGTCATTTTTAAATCCAAAGCAGAATATTCAAACACACCTGCATTTCCAACACGTATAAGTTGAGAAGGAGTTAGTGAAACCAGGTTTTTTATAGTTGAAGTATAACCAACATATTTGCATCGATCAATCTCAATACCATTTAATTCATAACGAATTTCATCAAATAAGTAAGCTATAGCATTGTTAATGAGATCAACATTTTCTGTTAAAGTATTTCCATCATTCTTTGTCAAGCGTCCAAATATATGTAAGGAACTGCTACTCGGTAAAATATATAAATCTTGATTTTGAACTATTATCCGAATTTCATCACTATTGTTGAAAGATGATGATGCATATGGTTGATGACTATGAATTTCATAATTTGCTATAGATTCATCAAAATTCACTTGAGTTGGAATGCTGAGAATTTCCTCCATTTTTCTTATAACAACGACACAAAATGAATAGATAGAATTTTTCACCTCTCTTCTGCTTCTTCTTTATTTTTAATGTCTGATTCGCAGACCAAGTTTCTTCAGAAATATTTGATTCTGAGGTGTTAACACCTTGCGAGTTACATTCACACTGCTTTTCTTTACACATGTTGGTTCACTTTTATAACTACCACCAACTTTTCTTTTTTGATTGTAAATAATTCCCATTACACTGATTTTATATGTAAACGTATTGTTATTGTCTCTCCTCTAAAATTTACTAAATTACCGTCCTGATCAACTATACGCAGCTGAATATTATATATTGTCTTTACGGTGACTGGATAGTAAATGCCATTATTTGGAACTTCCATGATTTTATATCCAGTAGGAACAGAAGGATAAAATTGATGTATTGTATGTACTTTCTTTCCATTAATATATGATCCTGTTGTAATATTACACTCAACACGTATAGCATTCACCTTCATTATAGATATAATTGAATCAGAAACATTAACTGTATTTGCTCCAAGATACTTGGGAGAAAATCCAAATAATTGTCCTATACCATTTTCTTTACTGAAGTCAATTTCGCGATTAGATGCAATTGTACAGTGTAATGTATTTGTATCAACCGTCATTTTTAAAATAAGACCAGTGCGTCTTATTCTATGTTCAATATGCTTTTTAATATCTTCGATTTCATAACTACCTGTAGGTATTTCTATATCGAAACCATCTATATAAAATATATTAGCACCCTTATCAATGTTGGGAATTGAGTTAAATGTAAGGAGTTCAACAAGACCAAGAACATAATTTTTGTTAGATGATAGTTCAATTGGTAGAAAGTATGAAGCCTCAAGGGTTGAAGAATTCCCTGATAACGCGAGAGTGATAGAATCATTCATGTTGAGTGTTTAGTTGTATACTGAAGCTTGAAATTGGTTACACATTCTTATATAGACTAAAGTTATTCTTCACTGTAAGTTGATTACACAGAAATTTAAGACACAAATGACCGCATATAAACGTATCAAAATTTTGATATCTTTCATGATTATATTTTATATAGCTACCAACACCTAAGTAAACAATGAGATCCAATGGTGGTGAAAGATTACCAAAACTGTCAAAGTATTCGGTTTCATTGTTCACCTTTTTATATGCAACCCAATGAGTTCCAGGACCTTCTTTATTATCAAGATTTATTATTGCTGATTCATATTGAAATGGCCCTCCTATGGGTAATTCATTTCTCATAAAGACTCCTCTAAAATATGGTATTTTTAAACTTTTAGAATATTTTAGAAGATCATAATCACTTAGTGCACGGTGAGGTAGCTTCAATATTAGTTTTTTGATATTTTTTTCTTATTATATAATCCTTTGCATACGTAAGGTTGCATATAAAGGCCAAGTCCCCGTTGATATGGTTTCATGTATAGACCTTTTCCTAAAGCAATGGATTCCATAGTATGATTATGTCGTTGAGCTTCTGAAAGTTCTTTCTTAGGAACATTAGCTTCATTAACAGCTTTCACTATACCGCTAATTCCACCACTAAGCGCCCCTAAAGCACTCAGTCCAGCAAAAATTGGTACAAGAGGTAAAATACCCCCAACTTTTGAGGGTATAGGAAGAATTCGAGGTGATATAATCTTAGATTTACCGCCATACTGTTTTATAGCCTTTCTTGCACCAATCATAGCAGTTCTAATTGTATCTAAAGAGTTGTTATTAGATTTCATAGACTTTTTAGCAGCATTAACAATCTTCTTTAAAGTAACATGTTTTTTAGAAACAACCTTCATACTCTTCTTCTTCTTCTTCTTTGATTTCTTTGTCTTAATCTTTTTATATTTCTTATTAACTTTTATCCCCATCCCAAATTTAGACTTGGCTTTCATTATATTAGTTACAGCTAATGCAACTGCTTTTTCACTTAATTTAGCGTCTTTAGAAACAACCCGTTCCCACGCCTTTTCAGCAAGTATTTTATCTGCAGAATTTCTTATAGCCACGTCTTTATCTTTTGAATAAGCTATATCATGATCTTTACAAGCTGCATCTAAAGGGTTTATACCAGAATCACCACGTGCAAGACGTTTTGCTAACTTCGTACCAGGTCCACAATATTGATAACCCGGGAAATGAAACTCGAATGGTAATTTATTGATTATAGTATTGAGAAAACCTTGACCATGACAAGAAATTTTTTTATTATTCTTTTTCACTTTATCATGAGTAATCATTCCTCACTCGACTGTGGTTCACAACTAACTGATTGGATACAGCTATATAAACGCTATATTTATACCTATACCTTCAGTCGATTTCAAGATGCGGTTTAATGTACAAGATGTTCAACTCCCAATAGTGAATGTTGATAACCTTCTTCCAAACAAGGATGATGGTGTAAAACGTCATGGATGTTTATTTTCAAACAGCATTCGTGCAGCTTTTTGTGGACCATCAAATTGTGGAAAGACAAATGCTCTTTGGTCTTTAATCATACATCCGAATGGTTTAAGCTTTGAAAATATATATTTATATTCAAAGTCTTTACAACAACCAAAATATCAATTTTTAGAAAAAGTTCTCAGTAAAGTTGATGGTATTGAATACTTTCCATTTAGAGAACATGAAGAAGTGGTTTCACCTAAAGACGCTAAACCAAATTCAGTATTTATTTTTGATGATATTGCTTGCGAGAAGCAAGACAATGTAAGAGCATTTTTTTGCATGGGTAGGCATGTCAACGTTGACAGTTTCTATCTATGTCAGACATATGCCCACATTCCCAAACATCTTGTTAGAGATAATATTAACTTACTAGTACTTTTTAAACAAGATGAGAGAAACCTTAAGCATGTTTATAACGATCATGTAAATACAGATATGACTTACAATCAATTTCGTGATTTATGCTCAACATGTTGGAATTCTGATAGATATGGGTTTGTTGTTATAGACAAAGACCGAAATTTAAATAAAGGAAGATATAGAAAAGGTTTCGATTGCTTTATTCAGTTATAAGTATCTATTGGTTTACAACTTTCATTAGTATAATTTTAGACATCAATATATAAACATGTTTCGGAAAGAACGAGAAACGCTTCATGAAATAGCAAAAGCAAGTGATGCTATACGCAAGAAACATCGTATACTTAAAAGTGGTAGAGAGACTGCAGAAAATATATTGAAAGAAACTTTTCAACCATTAGTTACTCCATTGGAGAAAATGGTGAATAGAAATTATAATCCAATCAAGAGTGAAAATGTATCAAAAAAATAAAAAAGGAAGAAGAAGAAGAAGAAGACTTTGAAACAACATTCAAGACTGCTGTTAGTGACGATGAACCATTTGATATACCTGCGTATAATAACTATACATTTGATGATCCTATATCTGAAGTAGAAGATTTAGAAAATATAAAAAGTAGAAATATAATTGATGACTTATCAAATCAAGAGTACCAAGATGTTATATATGAGCAAAACGATAGGTTAAATGATAATTTAACAGTTCAAGAGTCTTATGAGCAGAATAATATACAACAACAACAAGATTCCGACAAATTAACAAATAAATTCATAACATTATTGAATAAAAATAGAAAACAATATTTGGATATGGTTTACGGAGTGCGGAAAGTTAAAGATAGAGGTTTCATGATAGGTAATACAGAAATTAATTTTGATGGTCCTCTGATAGACTTAGGTGAAAAGAAAAAATATACTAAAACAGATGGATTACTAGAACTTTTATTTAGAGAAAAACCAAGAAGACTAGAGACAGGAGGTAAAACTTTGGTAGTGGGGGTATGGCAATGCTGAGTCGCTCAGCTGATGTGTGGTCAGGCGTTTACTTTCAAAAAAAGTTTTCGCCGCAATAGACCACACGGACTTCTGCGCAGCTACACACGTAAACACAGGAAAATATATTCTATACAAATACAATATGAAATATAAGTGTTTATATTTTCAAACATCTTTTAGTTATTAAAAAAACGTTTTAAAAACAAAAAAATGTGCAAACTGTAGCATGAAGTGTATTAAAAGTTAACAAAAAGTAATAGTCATAGTGTTGTGTAGGTTTATCTTTCTTCTTGTTGCAACTTTTCACACAGCACGTTTTCGGAATTTTTAACTATTTGAATAACACTTAATTTAATAATCACTCACATTATTTCTATATATCCGTTATGACACACATTGTGTCTCGATTGCACTGATTGCACTTTAAAGTTAACCTCAAATTAAAATCATATCATACACA